TACTTTTTGTTGACCTAGAAAGCTAAAATTTTTATCACAGATATATCTAATCATCAGCTTCCATTTGTGGAAGTTTCAGCTTTCTAGATAAATTTAATTGCGAAATACATCGACAAGATTGAAATACATAAATTTTCGTACTGAATATTTCAAAGTAGTTCCGTGAGTAGTCAACCAAGAAATCACAAAGTATTCCGAAAATTTTCTTTCGTATCCAACTTTGTAGAACGTTTTTCACTGATCATTTTGGTAAAAAAAAATTTCGAATTTCATTGAGAAATGACAATCGTATAGCCAAAATATTTATCGTAAAAACAGAATATGTCAGATTTTTTTGATAGGAATATCGTATACAATGTTTAAATGAGATTTATTTATCCTATTCGTCTCTATCTAAGTAGCCGATAATAGAGCTTTGTAGAGCAAAGTTTCCTCTACAAAATCTAATATGTCACATATCTCCAGAATATAGCCATTTTGAGATATGCGAATCGACTTTTTCTTACATTTTACAGTGTTTAGTATTTTGTCTATAACATAGTCATTTCTCAATGAAATTCGATTTTTTTTTACCAAAATGATCAACGGGAAAAGCTCTACCAAGTTTGACACGAAAGAAAATTTTCTGAATATCTTGTCATTTTTTGATTGACTACTCACGGAACTACCTTGCACTATTTTCACAGTAAAAAGTATTAAAAAATCATTTTCGAAAATTTATGCATTTTAGTCTTATCGATGCATTGCACCACTAGTTTTAGCTAGAAAGCTGAAACTTTCATAAATGGAAGATGATAATTAGATATATATGTGATAAAAATGTCAGCTTTGTAGGTCAACAAAAAGTATAAAATTATAAAAAACAATTTATCGTCAGTTATTATGAAACATTCTTTATATCCATGCAAAATCTCAATCGTATCGTAAAAATCTTGCAACTTATAGCTTATACAGCTAACAATTCGCGCTTTTACGAGCCCAACAGTTTTTTGACGACAAGAAAAATGACTTTTTGCCTAATACTAACAACTCCAAAATCGTTATTTTTGTGACTACGCTACCAGAAATGAACTCCACTTCGATATTCAACTCCCAATACTAAAAAGTACTAGCATTTATCAAATTAAAAAATTGCAAAGCTGATCATACCAATAATCGAGACCTAGCACTAATTTGTCCTTAAAAATAAAAATTACATTCACGGCAGTAGCTGTATAATGGACTGTATCGAAGAATACTACTATACAACCTTATGAATTATATATTTCACTCTATTTCGAGTTGTCAAAACTTTGAAGATTCATCGAAAAAACATTCTTTTGCTCTTCCCCATATATTATTTGGATTTCTAGGTATATGAAGATTATCTCTATTTGTCCGACAGTAGAGAAATTCAAAATACGTTTGTTTTCAACTTTCCAGATTCGTAGCCCTTCATTTAGCTAATTTGTAAGTGGATCTATTTTGATGGAAAATTCATAATGCCAGTCTCATTTTGTCATATTGATACAATAAAAATGCTAAAACAAATAGTTTTATCTCTATATATCCTCAAGCCAGAAATGTGGGTTTTCTGAAGGGCGACTTAAAATCAAAGTTGTTTTAAGAGAAGCTAGTTGTTACGTGATCGACTAACCTGCTTGTAGGAACTCGGGTACAACAAAGCACATTTCAGTAGCGACAAACTCGATGTGAGGCTGATTCGGTAACTGCTCGGTCGGATCGTTATCTGATGGATTATCGCTTTGCTTCGCGGATTGTGCAGCTTTCCAAACAGGATCTTGAATTGTCTTGTCGATTCGTTTTAGAGCACAGGGACCAAATGGAACTCCTGCCATTACCCCTGTTTTGGTGTCAAGCCATTGATTGATCGATGATTGAATGGCATCTGGGCTGTGGTAGACGAATTGATCGAGCGTGAGACTTGGGTCATTCACTTGATAACACGTAAAGACCTGAATGATTACATTAAATATCGCATAGGCGAGCTGAGAAAGACTACTCATACAATGATATGATCTTGGAGATTGCTGCCTACACCTTGCAAGTCGATCTTGCAACTGATGCCCATTTCGGCGAGATGTTCTCCTGGGCCAATACCGGAATGCATCAAGATCATCGGGGAGTTATAAGCGCTAAATGAAAACGGTTTGCTATGCATACGAAAACGGCCTCGCAAAACGAGATATATTAATAGTCGGAAAACGATGTAACAGATTTCTGTTGGAGGTTTCAGCTCCCAAACAAGTTCATTTGATGGGCGAGCCAAGGTGTTTTAAACGTTGTGTCCAATTTTTCTCCTGATAATCACAGTGTGGTAGTCAAAACTTTCTGAATAAACAGTTTCAGCTATGCAGTCGGTTGACATGGTTAAAAAATGTGAAGTCGAGTTCTCAAAGCGCGCTAGACGAGCTATAGAGAGTCTTCAGAAAAATCGTATACATGTGTGTGAGGAAACCGTTTTATTTTGTGGCTTCAGATCAATGCAATACATTCCATTTAGTCACTTTCCTCGAAGTGCTAGATGTATAAGAAGGCCTTTGACAACGAATAATTGCAGTCGTTCTCGTTTCTTTTTGTGAACATCTGAATCTTTCAGAAATAATGAATGCAATGTATTGTATTGATCTCCCATTATAAAAAAATAATTCTTCCATCCAAGTTCATGGGTTTTCTGTAGATCTGCTGAAATGCGGAGAATTTTCGACTGAAATATGAAATTTTGCTGACGTGAATTAGTGTTTATCAAACAAAAGCTACAGAGTTCTACATCGAACCTTATAGAAGAAATGTACGGCTCAAACTTTGTGAAGCTTCCACAACGAACAAAACCCCGTTAATCTGTTAAATGAGCTCTCTCATAGCTTGACATGTTAGCCTTCGATTTTCAACCGCCGACCTGCTGTTTCATCGATCTTCTTTTATTGCCAAAACACAAAACCCTAGTATTTATCGTATTTTTTAAGAATTTTAAGCTGTTAGAACGTTTCATGTCCGTATATAAGCTCTCTCTCGGCATTGGAGGATTTCGGTCTTTCTGGGAGGACCCTGAACCAAAGTTTTCCAAAGAGGTCTTGTATTACGAAGGCTGATGTTATGTTTTGTTACAGAAGACTTTTTTCGAAATTTGACATTTTTCTCTGAAGTTTTCCGCAGGTCTTTTGTGCCTGTTCGGTTCGAAAGCAAATCATAGTTTTTCCATGAAAAACATTTTAAAAACTTTTCTCAAGAAGAGTCTTCTATTACGTTCCGCACAAAAATTCTCAGAGGCGTTTTAACGCGAGACGTGAGAGAGGGACAGGGATTGTTATTAAAAGGTATCGATAAGAAATGGATGTTGCTTGCACTTTCTACTCTATCAACAAGCTTGTTCTTTATATCGAAAAAAGAAATTGCGTCGTCGTCGTAAGATGTATTGGCTAACCTGTTCACTCAGAGGTGAAAGTTTCAGCGCAATGCATGTCATACCGTCGAATCGTTTTGCAGTATCGGATAGTGGCACAACTTCCTTTAGAATCGCTGAAATATCTAGAGTAGTCTAGAGAACAGAGCCCGAAAACGAGTCGAACCAGCTTGCGAAAATTCAGATCGAACGGAACCGAATCCGAACACTTAGGTTCATCCTAGATCTTACTAGATACGAGTGAAGAAAAGTAACTTAATACACGAGCAAGTGTTTTTATTTCTTCCAAGCAAGTCGCTTGTTGAAAAGTAGTCAAATAAGTGAATGCTAAGAGATATACTACACAAATCCACTTTGCTTTTAAAAAATTTCGGTTAGAACCAAACCCGAAAACTTCGGTATGTCTCGCTTTTTGGTAGAAAAGTCGAAGACTCTGAAGCGAAAGACAAGGTCAAACTCAATTCTTTTTGCCGTTTGATCGAAAGGGAAAATTTTAGGTAGGCCTACATGTTGAGAACCGAAATGATGTTATTTTGGTCTAAATTCTTTCCTCGATATTTATACCATGAATCGACTCGGTTTTGGAGGAACTATAGTTCTTAGAAAAAGAATTTTGAGAACGGTTACTATGATTTACTTTGTACCGAAATAGGTGGCTTTTTGACAAATCGATTTTCTACTATTTTGACAGGTAGTCTGCGAGACGAAGCATATATATCCGGAGTGACAAGACACGAGACGTTGGAGACCTTTGTTTACTCTGTTGAATGGTATATTGATGGTCTTATGTTCTGCATACTTCTTAAAGAAATCAGTGGGACAAAATAATATGATTGAACCGATACGATAACATGTGAAGTTGGTCCGTCGCTACCATTTGAAAGTAAGCCAGAAATTTCGAATATTTTTTTCATTGGTATATAATAAACGTAAAAAAAGTTTTGTACAAGATCATGGCTTTCTCCTACGTATTTTACATTCTTCATCAGAGGAGATATTCTAATAGAAGGAAAGGGATTGGCTATATTTGGGGACTGTGTGTATGAACGAAGAGTTGAAGTATTGGCATACAAGAGTACTGCATCAATTGAGCTTTTCAAACCGGCGTCTTATTCGAACCCGCTCTGATACTCGGCAATCAGTTAAAACGATGAGCTTTTCTGACGAAAAAGGTCAAACGGCTGGGAGAATTGCTGCTCAGTGTTTTACAACAAAAGCGTTTGAAAACGATAAACTCTTATGTTAGATATTTCCTCGGATAAAAAGCGTCATTGAAAATAATTTCACACCCGAGAAAATCTGAAAGTTTTCGTTGTCATACCCAGCACTTAGAATAACTTCCTTTCTTGCTTTGATTATTATCAGTTGACCGCTTGTATCGTCATGCGCTTCCACACCGACTGCCTTGTATTCGCGTCCTTCTTTATTGTTATTTTTCAGAATGATTCGGTCTACATATACACCCGTTTGAACTGTGAGGTTCGTTTTCTCGTAATTATGAACGAAATCCGCGCTCGTACTTCGGATACCCTTGTGAACTGTACGCACAGCATGTCCAACACCTAAGAAATTCTGAGATCAGCGTCGCAGCAGAAAACTAACATAACAAACCTTCATAGTCACCCTGCACGAACATATCTGGTTTGTAATCAAAGCCGCTGTCAATAAAGGATTCAAGAACTTTTTCAGAGATAGGCGCGAGAGGATATGGCTCGGTGTGCAAGGGTCCATCAGTACCATGAACAGTCAAGTCTGCTTGGTGCCATTCAGCTGGATGAAACGTCTCAGACGCCTTAAAATAGGGCAACATTTCATCCCAACTCCATCCTGGATTTCCCATGTCGGCAATTCGATCATAATCCGCTTTGGCGCCTCGGATGATCAATGTACCATTCATTCCACTACAGCCACCGAGGAAACGGCCTCGTGGAGCAGACACAATACGATTGTTGCATCCTTTTTGAGCAACCGTAGCATAGTTCCAGTCGTATGAAGTCTTCATCATCGATATCACACCGCCAGGCATGTGACTGTTGACTATATCTTCGTGACTGCCACAAAAAATCCGTCATCTGAGATAAGGAAATAGGATAAAAACGAACAAACCTAGGACCAGCTTCCAGAAGACACACACTAAAATTCGCACTTCCTTCTGCCAAACGTCGAGCTGCAACCGTACCGCTTGTTCCACCCCCAATGACAATGTAGTCGTAAGTAACATCATCATCCTTCGTATGAGACATTCTAGAAAAGGGTCGTCAGCACGAAAGTTTATTACTTTACCCCATATCTGCCTTAAAATGTTTGCTGAAGAAACTTTTGACCTGACGTACAGAATGGAGTGATTCGGATGGAGTTTCGAATTATTTTAACTTCATCTTAGAGTCCTGCTTGGTTCATTTTACTCTCAGATGAGTCGTGTCACTTTGGATCCTTAATTTGTCCAAAGTAAGGCTTATATCGACAGGCATGATTTATAGTCGGAATCAGCGTAAAAAATCTAAAGTGGGACGGGGATAAAAACTCATTTGGTCGTGGAAAAACTACTCAGTCTGGAGCTTGAAGTTTAAATAATATGTTTTCCTTGTACAAATCCTTTTATATCATCAAGCGCCATGCTTTTTATGAAATGAACTGCGGTTGAAAAGCAAATTACACTTCATATTCTTTGCAAGTAAACATACCTCAGTGAGATAAATTCGTTTTCTTCTTAATACAACGTATTCACGCCTATTGTGCTTATAGTTTATAAAAATAACATTCAAACCTGTTCTTTCTCACCAAAGTAAGATAAGACAAAGGTTTATGTTACTCTTTGCCAACATTTGATAAAAACAACGAGATGCACAAATAATACACGTAATGACCTCGCCACGTAACGGTTTCTGCCTGTTACGGCGGTTCAGACGGATATTTTATTTGATTGCTCCGGAATATTCACAGTCGGAGAGAATGATGTGAGTATGGGTGGTACATTTACTTTACTTTTACTTTAAGTAAATAAGGTAAAGTAAATAAAATATTTGTCATTTACTTTTGTAAAAGTAAATATATTATTTACTATTTACTTTACTAAAGTAAAGTAAATAAGGGTGTGGGTGTGGGTCTGAGTCGGTGCGGGGTGTGAGTCGGGGTGGGTATAAGGTGTGGATCGGTGTGGGTGTCGGGCATGGGTGTGGGTAGGTGTTGGTATGTGGTGGAGAAGAACAACAACACACACTCACACCCACACCCACACCCACCCATACCCATACCCATACCCACCCCTTCACCTAATTAATTATTTCATTTATCATTTATTAAATTATAAATTATTTGAAAATAATTTATATTTGCAATAAATTAAATTTGTTATAATTTATACTTAAAAATAAATATAAATTATCATAAATTATTATTTATTTTAAATATAAACTATGATAAGCAATATTTATTTATAAATATAACTTCTGAAAAAAATTATTGTATTTATTTTATATATAAGTTATCAATCATTTATATTTATTTTAAAGTAAAAGGAAGATGAACCGCCTAGCTCCGATGCGCAGAAAAGAAACGAACGCCGGTGTATAGTGCAGACTTGTAAACATTGTCTAGAGCATTTGCATTAGAGAACTTTTAATTATGCTATCTTAATTAGTTCCATTGACGTATTGTACTTTCAACAAAGACTAATACTTAATTATGTCATATTATTATAATGATGCTAGCCTTAACAAATAGACAGGCTTTGGCAGGTTAGGCCAGGCAGGCCGAAAAAAAGACAGGCAGGCAGACCAGGTCGAAAAAAATAGATGGCAGGCACAGGCAGGTTTAGAAGCTTGTAGGCCTGCAAAAAGTCGACCTGGTTGGACCTCTATTCCATGGCTAAAGTTTCAAGAGCATCACGAGATCGAGCTAGCAAGGCCACATTACAACTAAAAGAAGCAAAATAAGAAAAAAAATTAAGAATTCAACATTTAAATAGTTCACCCTTGTTTAGCTAGTGTTAGTACTATCTCTCTGCCAATGCCACTGCTAGCACTAGTAATGACGACATTTTTATCATGTAAATCAAGTACACCTCGTATTTCTCCAGACACGATGTCGTAAAAATAAATAAAAAAAATAAACAAGACCTCGTTCGATAACATGACTCATGAATGAAATCTGATTGGTCTCGAAGAATGCCATTTAGTTACTCAGGCTTTATGGTGAAGTAAATACGTTTCGCAGCATCAAGCTCGTCTTAAACTATGTTGTTGTTTTGTTTATTTCGTTTACTAAGGTGCCTAAAACAACCTATAGTTAAATGCTGTTTCAGCAGTTATGCATTGTGCATCAATTAATAGAATAAGACATAGTGCAATGATGGCAAGATTGATTGTATGTTGCTCTCAGTATATTTCCATCGAAGTAGTACTTCATATAATCATAAGAATGCGGCATGATTGTGAAATGTCTCTCTTGATTCTTAACTATATCATCTAGATATATGGTGGATTTACACTTTTTATATCAAAATTCTATATAGATGTCAGCGGTGCCAAATACATTTAATATTGATTGCAAAAAGAAAGACTGATAAAGAAATTTTATTTAATACGTATGAATTATTTGAAATTGAAGCGGTCAGTGTCGCTTCTATCTGAATATTTTCATAGACGATAAACGAATAAACTATATGTATATAAGTCATTGCGTAGACAAATTAACAGTAATGTTGCATCCGCTTAGCCACAATACATTACGAAAAAAAAAATGAAAGTGCATTTGAGTATCAATAAGCACTCAGATAGAATCGGAATTCGATACTTTTTAAGCGTATGCTTCGAATTTTGTTTTACTAATTTTCGATTTGTTAGTCATGTGTTAAAAGTTAAATAAATCAAAAATGTTGTTTCCACTGTGGACATCAGGCTTTTCTCTTAGCATTATCACCACGCACCAGCCAATAAATTCGACTAATTTTAAGTCGATGTATCAATGACAACCATATGCGACTGCCAAGCGAGTCGTTTGCACCCGTAATTAACACAACTCGATTGCCTTGTATATTGCTGTCTCCATGATTTAAAAACATCCTAGAAATCTTGGTTCTCTGATTAGTATGATCTTTCATCAGATAGATGTATTTGTTAATTATGTCCTCTATTTCTTTATAGTGTTGAAGATCATTTCATGTTTGAACTGGCTCTCTATTGACAATGCGCAAGAGTTCATTGGCAAGTGTATTAACCGAAGAAAATTCGTAGACAATATTCTGTTCGAGTTGACCAAACTCGAGACGAAAAGTGTTCCGTAACTCGATAGCAGTCCATAAATCGAGCGAGAGCGAGTAAAGCGATTTCAAATAGTCGGCAAAAATCACGGTCGGTTTATTAAGAATTCGGGCTACGGTTATCTGTAGATAATCACAAATAGTGTCTCTAGTCCATAAATGCTTGTCAAAACGATGTTGAATGTCGCTATGCGCTCCAGGTCCATTGAAGAATTGTTCGTACATTTGTTCGATCATGTCGTAGTATTCAACATTGGATATTTTTCGAATCACATTGCCCTTTCCCGTAATCGGCAAATGTCTATTGATTGGAAGAATTTTAACCAGGGAAGACACAATGTGTGAATATGTAGGTGTGTCTTTGTTAGCAGCATTCGAGTGGTGTCACATATCCAAGATTTTGGAGAAGTGCTCACTTCTTCCACAGGAGATGCGGCACACACACTCGGGAGATGCGGTGATTTCCTGTTGGAGATGTATCATTTCATTGAGAGATGTGCATCCATCACACTGGGGGCTGCATCTCCCGCTGAAAATGCAGCATCTTCCGGCAGAGATTTGAGCACTTCTCCAAATTCCAGGATATGTGACACTACTGATATTTCACCATTGATCTTTCATAGTCTTGCCATGCTCGATGATGCACATGCATCCCATTTCTATCAAAACAGAACTCATTTCGAATAATACCCTGCATGCTTTGACTAAAATGTATCTATACAAAGACAGATATGACTCCCTGGTAGGTTGATAGGCGGATGTATTTCAAAACCTCAAAGATCATAACGTATTCCCTAAAAAGAAGGTTTCATAAGGAACCATTTATGGATTTAACGAACATGCTGAACTTTTTAAGGTTTCTTTCGCTTATTAATAAACCATCAAGGGTTCTAGAAAATTTAAAGAACCATGTCTGACAAAAAATGTTTCACGACGTTTAGAAGAGTTCTATCTGACATCTTTATTTTAATGCTCAACTTCTCTTACAAAGAGGGTTTTAGCTCAAGTCGACTGAATCGAGAGGAATCATATTTTGAACGCGACTTAAATAATGTAAATCTAGAATAGCTATACTTATCTAATATTAGTAATAAAAAGCAGGCCATAAGCTTCACTTAATTCGTTAATAATAACAGCTAAACAACCACTTAGCCGTTAGTATAAGACTAGATTTTCTCTACTTATTGTTCCACTGCAAGTCTTTCGGTTATAGAGCACACCTATTTTTCGAAAATGATAGCTTTCTATAAACCTTTGCAAACAGCATGGAAATCTGCGGTTTTCCGATGCATTATGTAAAATTGTTATTTTCACAAAATAGGCTGTCCTTGAGCGACAACAGAGAAAATACAACAGCATCACCTCCACTTTGATCACTTAATTGTTTAATTTTAAATAAATTAAAAATTAACACTATGAAACAAATATCAGACATAACAAGTAAATCTATCACTACTTTGAATACTGAACATAGAGTATTGAAAGGTGCAATCAATAGTGAAATATCAACGGCAGCAATTAAAGGTAAAAAAAGAAGACTTCCCTCATTATCAAAACAAAGAAAACTATCATCACCTTTAGCAGCCAAAAGAAGTCGCAGAACGCTTCTTCTATCCACGTTTGAATAAGAGGATTTTCTTCTCTGAAAGCTGTGTTTATTAATCTCCATTCTTATGCTTATTAAATTTTGCTGTATATTAGAAACGTGAACTTAGTGATTGCCATTGTGATTAGATTATGATTTCTGTTTTAACATTGCATGTATC